CTCGCCTTGGTTTATGTATTTGACGTGTTGAAGGTCTCCCGAGGAGAAACTCTCAAGCTCGATGTGAAGTACAAAGATATCTTCAAAGGCCGCTTTGGATTGTATCATACTCTGGTCGGCGAGAATGGCCAGAAGCTACATGCTCTCGTTGACACTGGATCGGGTTTCTTTTTCCTCATCTGGAAGAATTGGTTCGAGAAAGCCAGTGGACACCCCTGCAGTACTTGTCCCGTGGGGTGTTACGACTGTCCGAAGGCTTGCTCTGTGGGTAATGTGACGAGAACTGTTGAGTTCCTGGACCATTACACGGTGAAGACGTTTCAGCACAAGTCTAGATTAACCATTGGTCAGGTGTCGCAGATCCTCACTTTCGGACTGATATTCGACCAGAAACCCCCCGTCAGTAAAGTTCCTCCAGCTAACCAAATAGGTCTTGCGTATGATCCAGGTGACGTGAACTTCCCGTCTCTGATGACGCAGTTGCGTTCATCAAAAACTGTCACGACCCAGATCATTGCTCTCTACTTGTATCCTCCCGCTGATCTCAAGGAGGCATCGGCTGATGGAGGCCTACTGCTGGGTGGAGGCGATCCTGCATTATATGAGGGTGCACTGAAGTATGTCGTCTTCTCTTCGGCCGAAGAGTATAGGGTCAATCTTCGCAAGCTATATGTCGGTGTTGGACCTATATATTCTCTATTCAATATGAACCTTGATCTCGACACCGGCGCCAACGCTCTATTCGTTCCAAAATTATACTACATGAATCTCATCAAGGATATTCATGCTGAAACTGTCAAGGCTGCGGGTACGGATGTTGTCTTCGAGTACGACTCAAAAGAGATGCTATGGTCCTTCCCTTGCCAACACATGAGCAAGTTGCCACAGTTGAAGTTCGACTTGGGTCCTGAAGGCATGACTCCATTCACGATGACATACACGAACTATGCCAGGTATCAATATGGCATATGTTTACTTACTATCGCACTAGCCCCAGGGAATGATTGGACGTTCCATGACCGTATGCTGATCGGTAATTATTTTGAGTTCGATCCTTCTCTTAATCGAGTCGGAATCGGCAAGTTGAAACCCCGATCTCTATAAACGATTCTGTTATTTTGTGGTCTTTAGCATCCACGGTCTACCG